GAGTCAGCGGTAAACATCTTAGAATGCTGAGTCAGCGTTAAACATCTCAGAATGCTGAGTCAGCGTTAAACATCTTAGAATGCTGAGTCAGCGTTAAATATCTCAGAATGCTGAGTCAGCGTTAAATATCTCAGAATGCTGAGTAAGTGTTCACGCTGTTGTTTTCCTGTTCATGGAACCTCTCAGCTCAGTCAGGATCAGGATGCTGTGACTTTTAGTTTACCATGCCCAAACAGCCAGCTTCCATTAGCTCGGTTTGGAGCACCAAGGGCCCCGCCTTCGGCTACTGCCCAGAGCACCATGCACCCGACCCGTATGGCCCCTCCTGTTGGTGGTGAGTCCACAATAATGCAAGCCATGAAGCTAATTTGGGTAGAGACCAGATCTTCAGCCCAGGGCCTCGATAGCATGTGTCCTGGCAAGAGACTAATGGCGCTTTACCACTGTCCCAACTCTCATCGGTTCCGCACCACACCAGTTAAGGGCCTGCCCCACTGCCGGTACCCCACCCCCACTCAGATCAGTTTAAGGGACCACCTTGATAGAGGTTCCAAGCAAATTGCTCCCAGGGGCCGATGTTGATTGAATAGCAGAGCTAAGTCATGGCGACACTGTCGCTCAGTTGGTAGAGCTGTTGCTTCTCATTAAGAAGGTTCAAATCCCTGCCCGGGACCTTTCTGAGTGGAATTTGCATGTTCTGTCTGTGCTGCGTGGATTTTCTCCCACAGACCAAAAACATGCATGGTGGGCTGATTGGTAACTCTAAACTGTCTCTAGGTGAGAGAGAGTGAATGTTTCAACAAAGTTAAGTCAGGTCCTCTGGACAGCTTCTTTGTGTTGAAACATTTTGTCTTTTATCCAAAAGACTTCATCATTCTGAGAAGCCGCAACAAACTCAGTCTCATAAGTTGCACACTCACATAGTGGGCCAACCAGTTTGATGGTGAAAAAAATGGTTTCTGGAGTCCAACCTCTCCCCCGCTAATTCGTCTGAGGTAGCCATGGCCAAAGTGGTTCAAAACATTAAAGTTCATGCTCAATAATCACCATGAAACTGGTTGGCCCACTATGTGAGTGTGCTACATGACGACAAACTCTGATCTGGAGATGGGTCGGCTCGGACCATGAACGTGAGCTTCAAATGGTTTAATGAACAGATGAGATTAAGCTGGTTTATAATCTGAAGCAGGAGTCAAAAACTAACGTGTAATTTATGCTACTCTTATTTCTGCTGCTGTTCAGTTTGGTGACACACTTCTTTTCCGATTTAAGCAGTAAGGCTCCAAATGGATTCATTCACAGCTGAAAACAGGACTAAAGAAAATCCTTATGTTGCTGGTTCATATCCGGCTCGAAGGACCAAAATTTTGGATAAAAATATCCTCTTTTCATCATAATTACTAAAAGAAGCCACACAAGGACACAAGAAGGTACTTAACTGGTTTTTATGTGCAAGGACAGACACATTCAACAGGCTTACACAGATGTCTCATTTAAGTCCGGTCGCAAGAATCTGCACTGGACTGTATGCAAGGATATTTTGTATACATGTTTATTAGCCCTCACAGTACACAGTCAGTCCATGCTGATCTCGGCCTCTCATGCAGGATCAAATCTGCTCCTCTCTGAGAGAGAAAATAACTCTCTGAACTCGCACACGTTTCAACATTAATTTAACATTAGTTAGTGATAAACATCCTTGACCTTGAGCAAACCCCCCCTGACAGCAGCCACTTCTGACTGGAAGTCTTTTATATAAAAGTGTTTTAATCTGCAGATTTGTGTTTGATCCATTTCAGGTGAGAGCTGTAGTCGACTGGTTGAAGAGCGAGACCTTCGTTCTCTCTGCCAACCTTCACGGAGGAGCTCTGGTGGTCAGTTATCCGTATGACAACAGCAACAGAGGTAAAAACGTCTGCTGGCAGCTTGGATACCTGCAGGACAAGTAAACGAGTTCACGTCTCTTCTGACTGTTTCACAGGCCCGGAGTTGGTTCGCCGGGCCAGCATCAGCCCCGATAATGATGTGTTGATTCACCTGGCCAAGGTGTACTCCTACAGCCACGCCCGGATGTCCCAGGGGAGCCCGTGTGAGGACAGCGGAATGTTCCCGGACGGCATAACCAACGGATACCAGTGGTATCCTCTGGAAGGTCAGCAGGACTACCGGACAAACCTGGAAACAAAAACAATTTAATGTTGCTGTTTTATTAAAATGCTTCAGAAGATTCAAACAAAGAATCAAACAGGGTCAGAACACGTTAACAAGAGACAGTCTTTAGGACGATTATTTACCAACCGGACTTCTAAAGGCCATCTACATTAAATATTTTGGATTCTAACTCCTCCATTTTTGGTTCTGGTCCAAACCAAGTGTAGATTTATGATGGGAATGATTTTTATTGACGTTATTTGGTTATAAATTTGTTCCATCAAAGTGAAACCTGAAAATGTTGCAGTTTGTTCAACCAGAGGTGGTTAAAATTTACTATAATTTCCAGATTATAGAGCGCACCTGAATATAAGCTATGCACACTAAATTAAAAACAACAACAAAAATAATTGGTACATGTATAAGCCGCACTTGTGTATAAGCCGCACTTGTGTATAAGCCACATTTGTGTATAAGCCACACTTGTGTATAAGCCGCATTTGTGTATAAGCCACACTTGTTTATAAACCACACCTGTGTACAAGCCACACTTGTGTATAAGCCGCACTTGTGTATAAGCCGCATTTGTGTATAAGCCACACTTGTGTATAAGCCACATTTGTGTATAAGCCACACTTGTTTATAAACCACACCTGTGTACAAGCCACACTTGTGTATAAGCCGCACTTGTGTATAAGCCACACTTGTGTATAAGCCGCACTTGTGTATAAGCCACACTTGTGTATAAGCCGCATTTGTGTATAAGCCACACTTGTGTATAAGCCGCATTTGTGTATAAGCCACACTTGTTTATAAACCACACCTGTGTACAAGCCACACTTGTGTATAAGCCGCACTTGTGTATAAGCCACACTTGTGTACAAGCCGCACTTGTGTATAAGCCACACTTGTGTATAAGCCACACTTGTGTACAAGCCGCACTTGTGTACAAGCCACACTTGTGTATAAGCCGCATTTGTGTACAAGCCACACTTGTGTATAAGCCACACTTGTGTATAAGCCGCATTTGTGTATAAGCCGCATTTGTGTATAAGTCGCACTTGTGTATAAGCCACACTTGTGTATAAGCCACACTTGTGTACAAGCCACACTTGTGTATAAGCCGCATTTGTGTATAAGCCGCATTTGTGTATAAGCCGCATTTGTGTATAAGCCGCATTTGTGTATAAGCCACACTTGTGTATAAGCCGCACTTGTGTATAAGCTGCACTTGTGTATAAGCTGCACTTGTGTATAAGCTGCACTTGTGTATAAGCTGCACTTGTGTATAAGCCGTGGGTGTTCACATTGTAACATGAGTGGCAGCTCACAGCTACTGAGAGAAATGTGCAGCTCCTGTTGTAGATCAAGAATCAACCACCAGCTGTGTTTTATAGACTTTATTTTACTGTTCAACACAAACAGACAGAGTGAACCCCACAGGTCTTTATGACAACTACCTCCCTCACTCATGGTTCCTCTACTGAATGGACTAACACAAACTATCACATAAAGAACATAAACTAGTCTAACAAGAACAGACCAATCACTAAAACAATGATGCTAAACAGCTAACTGAAATGATTAACAATTAACATAAATTCTACCCTTAATCCCTCCCTTAAAAAAATACAGTACTAAATGTTTTTAGTGGCAGGATGTTCGTTTGCAAAAAAAAAATTAAATTAGCCGCAGCATTATATAAGCCACAGAGTTCAAAGTGTGTGAAAAAAGTAGCGGCTTATAGACCAGAAAGTACGGTGATAGTTTGATTTTGTAAATGTTGATGTTCACCCTGTTATTTTTTTTTATTTTTAATAGTAAATACTTCAGCATATGTTCAGCTATTTGAGCTATTCGGTTTATCAAAATGTTCAGCTTGTTTAGAACGTTACGTCTATGACTTTTGTTTTTTGTAGCTTGGATACTTTAAAAAAAAAAAAAACTTTTTTAGCTTGTTTTTCATTTAAATGAAACCAGCTTCTTGTTGCGCTTTTAGCTATTACTTTGTTTCTTTTTATCTTTTTGCTGGTTTCAGCTCATGTCTGTCGTCGGGCGGTTTTGTTGAGAATAAGAATAAACGTTTGTGTGCAGGAGGGATGCAGGACTTTAACTACGTGTGGGGCCAGTGTTTGGAGCTGACTCTAGAACTTTCCTGCTGCAAGTTTCCTCCACCTGAAGAACTTCCTGCTCTGTGGATGGACAACAAGAAGGCTCTGCTGGCCTACATCCAGCAGGTCCACCTGGGTCAGAACCTGTCTGCACGTCCACCTGTCTGTCCGTCTCCTCACCTGTGAACGGTTAATAAATAAGTATGTGTTTGATTTTAGGGGTGAAAGGTCGTGTGTTCGCCTCTGGCGTGCCGGTGCAGAACGCAGTGGTGGAGGTCAGAGGTCGGCAGAACATGTGTCCGTTCAGAACCAACCAACATGGAGAATACTACAGACTGCTGCTGCCTGGAAACTACACCTTCACAGTAAGCACACGTCACAAACGAATGAATTATTCTGATAAATAATAATCTCTGAGCCATCAAATCATATACATTTATGTGTGTGTGTGCATTTACTGTCATAACGTTATTTCATTCCTGTTCTTATTGTTGCTTCCAGCTATTCTCAGTTTTTCTGGTTTCTTTGTTTGTTCTGGTCTCTTTGATGGACAGGTAACGTATCCGGATCACGAGGTTCTGACTCAAACCCTCAGCATCCCTTATGGTCCAGATCGATACTCGGCGAAGCAGCATGACTTCCAGTTACGACGCGCTGCTACGTTGACCGGCCTCGTCCCGGCAGAGCCCACCCGAGCTGACCTCACCCCCACCTGCAACAAGTTAAACCTGGAAGGAGGCGGAGCCATGACCACGCCCACCTGGAGCACTCTCACAGTGGAGCTCAGTTTAGTGGTGGTGCTGCGATCGCTGGTGGACTGAAGTTCTTGTAGCAGTCTGAGTCCTCGAGGCGACCCGCAGGATCAAACAGTAAAACCAGCACCGGAACAAAAACATCATCTTCTTCAGCAGGTGCTGAAGGAGTGTGTCGAGGCTGGAGTTTGGCTTCATCACTTGCTACCAGCTTTGACGCTCCAACAACCAAAAAATGGGAGTAAACGGGTGAAGCACACGACTGTTCATGACGGCAGGAAATGAAGCAGAAACAATGAAAGTTACAGAATTCTCACCGAACGGGCCTGATCTGGCAACAGAAGTCCTGATGACGACTCAGTTCCACCTGTTTTAGCTACAGGGTCCTAGTTTTGGCAGATACCGTCCACGTGGAAGAACTTACACCGAATTTTAGATATCAGACATTATTCATATAGTTTGTTGTGAAAATGTCACGTTCAGACATTAAGTTAACTGATCACTAACGGTGTATTTCTGGACATCAGCTTTAAAAGGGCTAGTTCAGATGTTTGGGAGTAGGATCCTGTGGAAAGATGATCAGGTTGTTTGTAGACACAGTTTACTTCGGTTCAGGTGGACGGCTAACAGCTACTATCTGAAAACAAGTCCAGTCTCACAAGTTTTATAACAGTTCCCACAAGCACTATCTTAAAAACTTTTACATCTTCGTCAGTTTTGCATGACGCGGCTCTTCCAGAAGAAATAATGTGATATTCTTGCAGGAAGTGCTATAGCCAGCTGCTGCTAACTCTTATCCACAGAATTATGTGTATAATGTTTACTGTAAAACTGACAAAGGTCTTTAAAGTAGTTTTTTTATTTGTTTGAGTTATTTTAAAACTGCAGCAAACCGCTTTGATCTTGGCCTCGCTCAGACTAGCCATTAGCTCGTCAGTCTGCTAACGGTTATGCTAAGACGCGACGAAGAGTTCATAAACACTTTGATTAAAGAGAAAATCCAAAAAAGAATGTCGTATTTGTCAGTCCGAGGTTTGTTAATCCAGGATAATGAGGCATTTTAAGCAGTTTGGATTGTTTATTTTCTGGACAAAGTGTGGGCTGAAAATTAGCTCACAGAAGTAGCTCTTAGCTACATGTAGCCTTTCGCTAGCTACGCTTGGTGTAGCATCATGTGGCCTTTCCCCATTAGATGTACAAATAACTAATGATCAATTTAACGGTGTTGTAAACATTTTTTAAAGCAGCATTTGAATAAATCCCTGTCAGATTTTTCAGACTGGACTGGTTTTAAGACTTTAGCAAGCTGCATTAGCCGTTAGCTCACCAATCTGATCAGAATTAAACTATCATTTTAAACTGAGGTAGTTTAAAGAGCTTTCTACAACATTTAATATATTTACTGTTCTTAAGCTTGTCATTAAACCCAACTTCAAACGTTGGGTTTAAACTGATATGGCTAATTTGGTGAGCTAATTTGCTAACTAGCCAACATGCTAACCCGGTTAGCGAACCAATGAGTGAATTCAGCCAACACAACGATTTTACATCAAAAACAGACCTTTACTTTGGGTAAAGCTGTTAATTAAGTCTTACTGAAGGTTTAAAAACAGTAAATAAAAGAAGGTTTAAGATTCTGAATGTCAAACGGACCCGCTAACTCGTTTTCATCAACGTTTTGTCAAACGAGCAGATTTACGTCGTCAAACAACTTCCTGACCGAAACTAGCAAATATATGCGGGTCATTTTTAATGCTAATCAGTCTAAAACGTTTAATGTTTAATATGTTGAACATCACATATTCCAACAATCTCCAGATATTTGAGTCTTTTTCCTTTAGTTTCACTTTAAAAACACAAAATCACTCAACAAGTGGAATGTGAGAGAAAAAAGTTCATTTAAACTTTACTTGTAATTAGGAACCTCTAAAAGTTGAGCTCCAATGATGGAACCTGAGGAAAAACACAACATAATCCAAAAGTGGAACACTTTCCTGCACGTTCCCATTATAAAGGTTTTTAATCTGGATTAATCTGTCTTCACCGGGGAGGAAGGCGCTCCTTTGTCTGAGGACTTAGTGACGTCTCTCCTGCTCAGATGTTCCAGCAGCGGCTGTAATGTTATCTGTGAGGAGGCGCACTTAAACTTATCTCTTGAAAGGAGAGAACGCTGCTTTTAGACGGGCAGGAGTTTAAACCGGTGAGTTTAAAAAATAAAAGTACTTCCAGCTCGGAGCGCGGCGAGCCGAGAGATTAATCCACCTGGTGACGCAACGTTTCTGTCACTCTTTATTTATGACGACAGGAACACCAGACGGGTTCCTGCAGGATCTTTATGAGCCCGAGGACGGAGGTTTTAATCCAGAAGTTCCTATTTGTAAGTGTCATCATAAAAACAATAATTTAATGTCTTTTATTTTATTGTCTAATAGTAAAGAAGTAGGGCGCTTTACATTTGTAAATAAAGTGCTACATTTCTTGTCATAAAACTAAATAAATTAACATAAAATTGAAATGACTACAAATAGTTAGGGCCATAAAACGACAGACAACAAATCCTGTCTGAAGGATCCTGTGGTTCCTCCGGGTGGTTTGGAAGTGACCTCCAGTAACTTGAAGACACAAAGGCAGGGAGATGTTTTGCAGCTCCAGACTGAGATAGCGAGGAGCTGAGACTTTATTTTCAGATGAAGAACGAGGTTTTACGCAGGTGTTCAACGTGTCAGTCAAAGGAAAGGTGAGAATCAAACCAGACGCCAAGGTTGGTCCTGACCAGAACATGTTCTGGTTGCTGTGGGGGATGACTGGAACTGATGGGGTGTGCCAGTCAGCATGGCCTCAGTTTCCGAGCTGTTCAGTTGGAGAAGGTTTTGTTCATCCATGACCTTATCTCCTCCAGACGGAGGTGAGTGGAGAGTGGTGATGTGGAGGATGAAGCAGGTGGTTGAGAGTCATCGTCATAGCAGTGGAAGAATATTCCATGACTTGAGCAAGAGGAAGCATGAATGATGTGAAGAGAGTGGGGCCAAGGACTGACCCTTGAGGAACCCCACAAGTGACGGTATGATTCTTTGACTTGGCTCCACTGTTGGTAACAGTCCTGTCTGAAAGGTAGAACTGGAACCAGTCAAGAACAGTATCATGACGCCCAGTATGTGAAAGAGGCGGTTCTGGAGACTATCGTGATCATCGGTGTCAAATGCTGAAGATGAGAGACGGTGAGCCTGCATGTGCTGCCACCCACAGATCGTTGGTGACCCGACTCACAGCTGTTTCAGTGCAGTGTGAAGAGCAGAACCTGGACTGAATCAGCTGATCTGTGGTCGTTGAGCTGCACGGCAACAACTTTCTCCAGAACCTTTGAGAGGATCTGGAGACTAGCTGTGGGTCTGTTTGATGGGATTTCCAGGTCCAGGGTGGGTCTTTTCAGGAGAGGTTTGATTGGTGCTGGAACAGAACCAGACTGAAGAGACACGTTGATGGTAGAGGTGACTACTGGACCAGTGGTTGAAATCATCTTAACCAGAGGGTCAAGGGAACATGTAGTGGTCTTCATCGTCCTGACGATGTCCAAGCTCTCCTGCGGAGTCGGGAAAGAAGAGCGGAGAGATCTTGACTTGCGGCTCTTTGGGTTCACATGGACTGAGTGCAGGCGATGGAGCGTGTTGAGCTCATTTTGGTGCTACAGTTTCAAAACGTGCTGCACTGATCAGCAGAGGATTAATAATTATATTTACACATTATTCTAAACTAACAATAATAAAACCTACAGTGATTATATCTCCAAGTCTAACCGTTAAGAGCAAAATATGAAATAACAGAATAAATGAAGTAAATTAAAGCTAAAAAAGTTAAATTATACTAAAGCGCCCCCTGGTGGCAGAAGTTGGTCATACAACTCGTTTAATAAATCCAATGTAGTTCTAAATAAACTTTACAGTCAAGGAGGAAAATTAAGTCCATCCCTTTAGTTTTGGGTTTTACATGTCATGAAAAATGTTGTGAAATTATTCAAATCTGACTTCAAGTGTTTTTTTATCAAACTGAAACAAAAAGTTGAAGCTTGAGTTAAAAGCTGGTTTGTTCTGCAGGATCCCTGAGGTTGAGGATGATCAGCAGTTTTTGTTGTTCTTTAGGGTACAGGTGTGTTAGCACAACGCCAAGATGGTAAGGCATCAGCAATGACCTCTTCTCTCCCAGGCTCGGCCATCGTTCAGACGCCCTGCAGCTGTTCCCAACACGACACATGAAACGTTTTTACTGTTTGTTTTTTATATGGTGGCACAGTGGATCAGCGGTGACTCAGGCTTCCGTCACTCGAACATCGGACTCGTGTTCCGCTGTGAAACGACGTCACTGATTGTTTTTGTTTGTTTGAACGTGAAATCAACTGAGCCCGAATCTGAAGGGAAATGTCTTAATAAAGTTTTAATAAATATGTTTTAGTCCCGTTCTTATTCACTCGTTTGAGTTTTGACAAACTCACGACAGATGTTTCATAATTAAAGCGTTTCGTCCCCCACCCCCACAGAGACTGTTGGACAAAAAGAAGAAGCAGGTCAAGATGATGAACGGTTTCTTTACACAAAGATGGCCTCCTTTACTCCTCTCTCAAACCATCGTTCCTCTCTGTCCAGGATGTGAACATCTTCATCCCTGAAAGAGTGACCTCTGGCCTGGAGATGAGTGTAGACCGCAGAGTCCTGGCCTGATGATGTTGATCTTCTGTGCTGGTCCATCCTTTTGGCCAGTGGCTGTTTAGTTTCCCCGATGTAAGACTGATCACCCTCCTGACACTGAACAACATACACAACATT